AAATACAGTAACTATATAATTTTTATATGATTATAGCTGATGTCACATAAGACCTTTGGTAGTAAATGGATAAAATTACCCTATTGATTGAATTGACCAAATTCACAATATGGTGGGACACAATAATCATCAACTACTGATCACCATCTTGCACTTCATTCCTGATCACATATGTACAGTCCCTGACACAGCATTTGCAGAGTGGAGTACAAGGTAGACCATTCTTATAGCAACTGCATCGTGTTCCTTTGCACCCAGTTTTACACCCACATTTGGCCAGCTCAATAACAGCTCGAGGGGCAGGTAGGCTGAGACATCTCACAGGAACATAACTGCCATCTTCCAAACTCCAACCCTTTTGTTCAATAGGAGGGAGAACTGGACAGTTTTTATTGTATGATTTATCACGCATGGCAATGTAATATGCACGTGTGATATAGGGTAATAAAGCAGCCCATGTAGGAGGTAACATTTCTCCCTCCAAGTTCTTTGAACAAAAGAGCTCCCATCGCAATGCTGATAAGGTTTTGAGACCTGTCGTACAGTACACTCTACAAACAAACTGTTCCAAGCTATGAGAAATTATGAAGTCCAATGAGCCCTTGACATTTATGAAGTCCAATCACTCGCACCCGTTCCATCACATCCATTTCTCAGTACTTTATTCCCTTACCAGTTAAAAACTTCAGACGAGTTTGAGCTCCTAGGTGACCACGAGAGACCAAATCAAGCAAAAGTATGAATACATCTGTGTCAGGTGACCAAACACACACTTCTCGGTGAACACTCTCAATTATTGAAACCAGAACTTGATGGGGAATCAGGGTATCAGCCTCTTCATGTGAATGGTTCTCTTCAAAGTCCTTACCTTTTATCTTTTGTTCATACACAACAACTAGCTTGAATGTATTGTCGCTGGAGAAGTGTCCTAGCAAATTCTGAGCAAATATGGACGTTATTCTATTCTTGCTCTTTGAAGCAGACAGAAGCTCTTTGAAAGACATGCTGGGCTTCATTTCTGAATGAATCTCAAATTCTGTGGAATATCATATCATATTCTGTTATGTCATATTCTTTAAAGATTGGTCTAGATAGCGGTCAAATACCACTCTACCCTCATTGTAGCCAACCATCATCCACTCAATACGTTTTATAAAAGCCCTTTCAAGATCAGAAAGCTTCTTCATGGCTGGTGTTTTCTTCCTGCTTTGTAATACAGCCATAGCATCAACAATAAGAACTCTAGGTAGGTGATCTTTTGGCACCATGTCAACAAAAGGGTCAGATTGAACATGTTGAACTTTAGCCTATGGAGAGGTTTAAGTGGAATTACAGAGGAAATAGCATCAAACTTCATCATCAGGATTGCCAAATAGGTTGAAATATGGTACTCCACACCTCGCTTGTAGGCCTTGCCACCATAGATCCCACAAAGAGCTGCAGAAGTGTATGTTCCGCTGTTTATAGTACATGTGTCAATGCCAATTGTTTTACCAAGAGCATGAAGGGCAGCAAAGACAATATGAAGAACACCTGCTCGGAGGATCCAGTTGGTGTTACCCACTGACTGCTGAATTTTGAGTGCACATTTGTAAAAATCCAAGTCTAGTGTTATGAGGGTCAACATCAGAACAGTGTAGTCGCAAAATCGGTAGGTGATGTCTTAAAAAGTGGAGCAAGCACCTCTGAGTTTGTGCGGTCTTGACTCTGAAAGGAATGTGATAACAGCAGAGATTTGGTACTAGCCCATGTTGGAATCATTTCTTCCTTTGCTAGTTTTACAACCTTGTGGCTTTGTTCTTTCACTGAAAGAATAAAATCATCACAATCATGGGTGTTTTGTAATGTGGCAGACTCTTGCTGTTCTCCTAAACATTCATTTGTGTTTCCACTGTCTTTGTCAGCAGTGAGGTGGTTAGCAAGTGCCCAAATGTGTGGGTAATCATCTGAGATAAGACACTTATTATTGGCTTTGTTTGAATGATTGGCACTTGCAAGTACTTTACTTCAAACTTGAATGGTGTAAATGAGAGTTTCTCTGTGATGGCAAATGGTGGGTTGACATGTTCCCAATCTTCTGCTCGCTGGTTAATCACAACTACTGTACCATGGAATGTGTTCTGTCCTGCTGGCGTGTCTTCTAAGAGATCAATGTTATCAACAGCAAACCAGATGTTTACACCTTTCTTGACAAAATCCGGCAAACAAAACCCCCAGTCTCCTTCATTCTTTGAAGAACATCTTGCTCCATGCGCTTCTCAAGGTCAAGGAATCTGTGATAGTCACTGCCAATGTAGACTTCTGAGAGGTTAATAACAAGATTCTTGTCACGCACTCTGGAATGAACAATATGCTGAAAACTATGGTTCATCTGGGACTGATGTTTTACTTGACGATCACTTTGAGTATTCTGGATAAGAAACTAGCAAGTAACATCAACTGTTTTCTCAACTTCTTCGTTGCGCATTCCAGAAACTTTATGTACATGGTTGCCAAAGAGTAGATGGGTGATGAAAAACTGGAGTAGTGGGGGATTTCCAAAATCTTCAAAGCTGCCATTGAATGACCAGTTCCGATGTTGCATTATCTCCTCTCGTAGAATGTTGACCATGTTCTTCAAGAGGCCCATTGTTTCATCATTATCTAGCAGAAAAGATCGAATTTCCATTGCTTTGCTAACTGCTGTTGGAAGAACAATGCTGTCAGGCTCATTTCGCCGCAGTGATTTGACAAACATTTGGAAGGCGTTCACTTATGAGGTTTTTCAAATGTTTTCGGTAGTTTGCTGTCTCAGAAATCTCTACCTGATACCTTTTCAAAATTAACATGTATGCATCATTCACCTCAGCCATATTCAGAGTAATGCTGTCATTAGTTAGAGTATCTTGAACACAGAGGAGTAACTGTTCGTCACAAAGAGAATGAATGAGCTGGTCATTACTTCTATCTGTTGAAGCAAATGTTCTTTGGGCAGACCATAAACATTTTCTATGATAGTACTTTTCAAGGGCACTAGCATCTCCAACATCTTCTAAATCTGACACACAAATTCTGACAGAGTCGTTCTTAGTTTTGTGCTTTATCTCTAGTAAGTTTTCACCCATCTTGTCTGACAAAACTTGGTGGAGTGGTTCAGAAGTATCTTTAGGGCAAAAGCTGCAGGACGAGAATATACAAACTTCTGCTTTTGGTGTAGTTTTCTTCTTCTTAGGCCTGGCAGAATCAGATGTACTAGATGGGCGTCCAGGTCCTCGTACAGAATACACAGACAAATCAGACAAGGTTCGCTTGCCCCTCAACCTTTTTATCATGGTCTTGTTCACAAAAGGTTTCGACTCTCGCTATGGTAACATGCAAATTTGAATTCAGATTCACCAAGTGTATTTAAGTGATCAGTAAGTTTTTTGATATCAATTTGTTCCAAAGACAGTCTCTCGTTACAACACATGATAAGTTTATCAATCATTTCTGGGTTATTTACCAGTCTCTTGGTTGAGCTGGCACCCTCGATGCAGATAATGCATTTGCTTTTTTTCTCAGACATGGCTGTTTATTTATCTTGTTTGGCTTGTCTCAGCTTGATGTTTTTCTCTCAAACAGTTAAAACATACAGACAGATAAATGTTTGAATATTCTCCCAATATTCTCCCAATACAGGATATTTGAAAATAGATTGGATCAGTTGTGTTTCTGTGCCTGAAAACCAAAGAAAAAGTTTATCACATCACTGAAATGCAATGACAGATGTGTTTAACCATGTTGGAAGTGTCATAAATAGAATCAGCATCATCATTGTTGTATTATATGTCCTAATAATTAATACGTCATCCACCAATTGTCCATTCACTATTGGCTCCAAGATTTGCCTTTCCACTATCTAGTCTATTCATGAAGAGAAAAAGATTAGTAAATGAAACGTATTTTAAAACCACCTGGTTGTTATACATTCAATCTTCCACAAAGCAATAATCATCACATCCATATATTCTGTATTTTTTATCCAGGAAATTGCTGAGAAACAGCACAATTCCAGTATGTCGAATAACACAACCATGGCTGAGGAAGTAACAGACACTCATCTGATGCCAGCGTATATATATACATCTCAGAGCTAGTGTTTGGTATTGTTGGTACAATTGGAAATATGTTTGTTATATTTGTTGTCTTGACAACAGAAAAAATGAAAACGCTTACAAATTATATGATAGTGAATCTTTCAGTAGCAGACTTGTTGACATCACTGTTGCTTATCAGTAATAAGTACGTAACTCAGGCATTTTCAATAGCCGTGCCTGACGGGTTGAGCGGGCATGTGTACTGTCGTTTGTTTCACAGCGCCGTTTTCTTTTGGATTAGCATCAAAACATCCACGTTCAACCTTATTGCAATGACCTACGAAACATATATGGCCGTGGTACATCCTACAATCTATCCGAAATACCGATCGAAGCGAAACATCTTTCTCATCGTGATACTGCGTTGGCTTTTGGCATTTGTCTTGGAGTTGGTCTTTACCATATTTCATGGCAAGAACGATACGGGATGTTACCTGTTCAGATATCCCAATGAACATATAGGCATATTCGTAGGATGCTTGAGCTTTTTAAGTACTTTTTTCCTGCCAATGTGTCTTTTGATCTGGGCATGCTACAAAATTAGGACATTCTTGAAGAAGTCACTTGTCAAACCGTCAACAAACACAACTGGTCAGTCACACCAACGCGCACGACAGAAAATTGTAAAAACGTTATACCTGGTTATTATAGCGTATACCATTAACTGGACGCCGAACAGTCTCTTGTTTCTTGCCTCCAATGTGGGTGCTCCTGTCCAATACGAAGCGGATTATTACAATATTATCATACTTATCTACTTTCTCAAATATAAACAATTCAGAGAGAACTTTGTTAGAAAGTTTTGTCCATGAATCGCGAAACAGCATCTTAGTGATAATTCCAGTGAAGAGCATTCTGTTATAAGTGGAACTCGAACAGCATTAAGATTGCATAAAATAATGTTGGTAACTACTAAAATAAACTAAGTTTCATTGTATTAAATTATTTTGGGAGATCCGAGAGACTCCTGTC